AGCCTATCTAGTGAGTTGGCTGAGTCAAGTGAGCGCGTGTTGAGTGATTATCGCGGCAGCCTTCTACATCCTTCCTCATCCCTGGTCTTATTGACTATGTATTTACACCCGAAACGGAGGTGGGAGCGGCGAGCGAGTGGGCAGGTTCCCCGCGAGCCTGCTTTAACTGCTATTTTCGTTCGCGGTAGTTCACTGCGTTGCTTCTGCCTGCTGTAGCCTTCGTGCAGCTTACCCAGCTTGCCTTAGTGTCTGCTTCGGCTTGCTTTAGCGTTTGCTGCGGCTTGTTAGAGCACGCGGTGCCCATCGTCGAAATCGACGGGGGAACTGTCGGTGGTGATAGGATGTTGCCTGGGAGCCGAGTGGTAGACATTTATTATCTACTGAGTGCAAAGTTTTGTGGGAAACGCGAAGTTTTTTGTGAGAAAGGCGTCTGCTATTTAAGCAGAGCCAGAATAAGCCAGAACTCTTCAAGAATTCAGGCAAAACTAACGCAGAGATAGATGCAACCGGGGTGGTCTTGTGTTCTTTTCATGGGCGGTGATGCCGAAATCGAGGTGTGCATTGCAGGATTTAATAGCTGGTTTGAGCCCGCTCGAAACAGTGAGAGAAAATTCAAATAGGATATGTTTGGACACTGATTCGCTAGGCGTTACTCACTAGCATAGGCTGTGCAATATCAAAATGGATAGTGAGGTAAAGAGGTCACTTTTTTGCACTTGTTTGCACTTTAGCGTAAATAAGCATGGTCATGAGTTGCTGCCTTAATCGTGTTGTCTTGAGTATTATTTGATTTTTAAGCTAGCTGAGATGCAAATCCAAACTGGTTTGAAAAGGGTACTACATGATATCTGTCCTTTGTGAATTCTGCTGGTAAGGTCCATTGATCTATTTCCAGTAATAAATTCTCTTTTTGGGGCTTTAGGATACACTCTGCAAAATAGCATATAACTGTCAGTTTGTCATGCAACCACAAAATATATTACTGGCTACTTATTGCCAGTTCAGGGAATACTACGCAGTTATTCCGCCATGGCGAAAGGACTTAAGCCGATGTAAGCTGTTTTTTGCGAAAAATTATGAAGGCAATAAACGAATGTGCCCTCAACATTTCCGGAAACCAGACAAGTGCTTTGCTGCTATTCTCACCACTGCATAACATCAATATACAATATATTTACGTACTAAAATTATTTTTGGCAAGATAGAACATCACCACTTTATAGTGTGGAAACACGGACAGCACAGGTAAGCTACAACTGCCAAATACGGGGGATACCTACCTTAATCATTAGGAACTAATAACTCTTTCGCTATTTTGCTTATTGTTCCTCAAAATTATCATTCCTTTTGACTGCTGACTCGATTTGTTAACCCTTTGAAAAGGTAGTCAAATATGCCATTTTATAAAAAATATAAAACTCCTGTCGAAAGACAGTTGCAACAAGAAGATTTTTGCTAAAATATGTTTGCTAAACTAGCTTGCAAATTTTTATTTGTTATTACAGTAAACGCGAATTACATTTTAACAAAGCAGGAAGGGAAGAACCTGAAACTCGGTCGATTTTCGGTAACATGCTAGGTCTTCCTGGTGCGTAAGGCGTAAAGAACGGCTCACTTAAGACGAAAGGGGTTTTCTTGTGTAGAGAAATAAGGAGCATAATTTTTTACTTTAAAGCGGATCTACAAGGTTTTTTCATTTGTTTGGCAAGCTTGGCTTTCTGCTACCGTATTAAGAGTAAATGACAGTGTCGCACTAGATGCTCTTCAGTTTATTTTCTGGCCTGCTGTCGTCTCAAACCACAATCATTTCTATTACTATTTATGCCGAAGCATTTCTCTATCCCCGTTTTATGAAGGAAAACAATAAAATCACACAATTATAAGGCAAGATAGACTACTTTAATAAAATCAACTAGAAAACTTACTTTGTGTGTCATGTGGAAACTAAAGTACTGCGCAATACTTAGTTTTTCTTAGAAGTGTCGGCAAAATCTTCAGAGTCATCCATCGGGAGACAATCCTAAATAATTGGATGCTACTTCGTTGTTTTAGCTGTTCATCGATCGCCTAAGTAATTGGCAAATGGATGATGAGACTGAAACCATCAGGTTCATCGAAGCAACGAGCTCGCCGTTTTGCTCGAGGCAATAAACCACCGGTGAGGCAGCCCTTAGTCTAACATAAATAATATGATCTCTCCTTCTCTGTGTGTGCTACCAAAGAAAAGAGGCATAAAATCTGTTTCGGAAAACCCGATTGCCATCGGACTACGCATTAATTAACGTCTAACCGTTTATGTTTGCAGCCCTTGCAAGTAGGCAGGCCGCCTACCGACAGCGACATTCTTTAAATTGGAAAAAGACAAGGGTTGCATAGCTAGGTGAATTTACACCAGGCGTAAATCTTACTTTCCTTGCTAAACTTAGGCTGTATCAAGATCCGCGTTAGGTTATCATCTGACAAGTTTTCCATTTTGGTCAGCAATTCCGCAATTCATGAGCACACGATAATAGGGTTGCAAAAATTCCCATCACAGAAATCTGAAGGGCAATTGGCGAGCATACGTATATTTTTAATAAATTCTCATCAGGCCGTTACATTTATATGGCAGGGAGATAGTGTAAAAGGTAAAATTGTAGGTAAATTACATTCAACGTTACAGGCAAATTAGTCCAGGGAATAGGGGAAGGGGCTGGTGGTAGTAACAATCGGCTACTGAAGCGGTAATTAGGGAGAGGGGGAGATAGGAGGCTCGGAAAAAATTCTGGTAGCTAGGTGGCCGTTGGGCATGCTAAGCTTGGAGCTTGCAACAGTTTCTTTTGCGCGAACAAAATCTGCTTCCTCAACCGGATAGTGGTTGCTTCTGTTGTTGCGAGCATGCGCTGACCCAGTGACTTAGGGTAGTTTGGTGAGAACTTGTAGATCACCCTGAAGGCTTCGGTGGGGTCCACCCGATGTCCGCAATCCACCATTTGCGCTAGCATAGAGCTTTTGATGGTCCTGGTGCTATTAACTTCACCTTTGTTTAGCCATTGCGGGAGGAGTTCCTATATTCTTTCGTATAGGCGCCGACTCGTGGGACCAATATAACCTGCTCCACAGGAGCAAGTTAAGGAGTAGATGCACATGGAGGTGGTCTGAGTCGGTAACCTGTACTTACCTTCCCCATGTAAGATCGGGTTGGTTGAGAATGATACCCGAACTCTCGCTGCTGAGAAGGTTCGTGACACTGCTTTGTCT